TGAGTAGAGCGACAGGGTGTCTGCACCTGAGACGGAGGGAGGCTTGCATTTCACTGTGTGCGGCCTATACGCCTTGGGAGCCGGCCCTGGGGACCCCGTATGATGAAAAGCACGGATTTCTCTTGTTTGTTCCCGGACGCGACGGCTTGTTCTGCACGTCCTCCTCAGTGTGTGTTTCTCGCAATGGTAACGGGTTACGGCGCGAGGACAGATCTGTCTGTTTTGCAGCTTGTTTGCCTTCAGTTCCGTTCTGGACACCGTGTTGCTTAGGCCCAAAGACAAGGACGACGTGGAGTACTACAGTGAGACGCAGGAGCTGCTGCGCACGGAGATCGTCAACCCGCTGCGGATGTGAGTGGGGGCGGTTGTTGCTGCCTGAGCGCGGCGTCCTAGCTGCTGTTTCTTGGTAAAGTGATTAGTTTCCGCCTGGTTTTTATTTCACACGAAATGGGTGGGATTTATTTTCTTGATGGAGTTTTAATGATGTGTTTGGCCTTTGGTCCTGGTACTGCCTCTACTCATTTAATTTTGAATCTGCCCGAGGTGTAGCATGCAGTGTGTGTCACGGAGCGGTGGGCCCAGTGGTGGACGGCGCCACAGGGTGGCAATGCAGGAGGCGGGAGAGCCGAGCCGGCGGGCCCCTCTCTCCTCAAAGAGCCGAGTCCAGCCCCGCAGTCACTGTGCCTCTTAGTCCAAATGATACCTGGCTGCTTAAGCCTGACTTCATCTGGGAGAAAAGGAGCGAAGGAGAGTTTATTGGTTGGGTAGTGAGTGTTCGTGCATTCTTCATCTCTGCAGCCAACATATAGTGAACACCCAGCACTTAACATAAAAAATTTAAAAACAGCCAGTTCTGAGTGGCCCTTGGGCAGCCCACAGCGGCCTCTCGCGTCTCTTCTGCAGCCGCTGGAGTGAGAGTTTGTCGCGATGGAGGGTGTGGGATGTGCCCTGTGCTCAGACAGACACGAGCGGAAGTGTCACATGACGATGGCGGGTTTTAGAGCACATTTTAGATTTTCAGTGTCTTAGCACCACCCTTTGCCCTGCCTCCTGGTGGCTGTCTCATGCTTTAATGCTAAAAGGACTCTCTCTCTCTCTCTCTCTCTCTCTCTCTCTCTCTCTCTCTCAAAGTTACATATTCAGTTCTATAAAGTTAGCTCTGATTTCTTAAGCAAATAGCCTTAACCAGTCATCATAAAATCAAAGTATTTTTTCTTGTATTAGTGTGTGGTAGTTATTTTTAGGGTATAATAGTGTCTGGGATAATTCCCATTCCAGATTCTTAACTTTTCAAACTCACCCCCGTAAAGCAATAAAAAGAAAAAAAAGAAGCCTTTAAGTGTGTTTTTCAAAATAATTGTCTAGCCTATTGATTTATGACATGCTGAAGTTATATAAGGAATTTGTGATTATCAAAACATGTTCTGTGAATTGAATGTGTGTGTCAGTATTAATTCATATTTTTACTAACATAGATATGGATATGTGTGTGCCACAAAGATTATGAAACTGAGGAAAATACTTGAAAAAGTTGGCGCTGCGTCCGGATTTACCTCTGAAGAGAAAGGTGAGTGTCTTCCCTCCCAGGACCCGCCCTAAGATGACCAGGCGCCCTGCCCTGACCGCCCGTGCAGCGCGGGGAGGAGGTTTTAAACAGACACGTCCGTGCGGTGTACAATTTTCTCCCCTTTTATTTTTAATTTTTATTATTTTTTTAATATATACTTTTATTGATTTCAGAGAGGAAGGGAGAGGAGAGGGAGATAAAAACACCAATGATGAGAGAGAATCGTTGATCGGCTGCCTCCTGCACGCCCCACACTGGGGATCAAGCCTGCAACCCAGCATGTGCCCTGACCAGGAATTGAACCTTGACCTCCTGGTTTGTAGGTTGACGCTCAACCACTGAGCCCTGCCAGCCGGACTGCTCCCCCTTTTAAAATGCTGTCTCTCTTCTAAAGGGAGTGGCAGTATGGACGAGAGGGCTCTGTGAGCAGCGGGCGGGCTGTAGGCAGGCGGTGGGTATCCGGGAGTGTTCCTCCCCAGTGTTCCCATCCAGTGGCCCATTGGACCCCTCTCCGCGGGAGGGTGGTCGGCTCAGCCACACCGTCCCCCGGAGCCTCCTGCCGCACAGGGTGACGTCACGGTCAGAGTCAGCGTTTTGTCTGTTCATGGCTGCTGGCTTTCCTCCGAGATGCAGCTCTGACTCTGAACGTGCTAGCAGCGCGTTGGAACTAGCGGTAATGCTTAGAGGCCTGGTAATTATTTAAGTGTCAGGAAAATACAGGGTTGTACTTCAGGCTTCATTCCACTGATCTTAAACCCCTCAAAAGAAACTAAAATTATGTCATCATGCGTGAATGATGATACCTTTTCAAATGCAATAATATCACAACAAAGTTAGAGCTTCATATTTTATCATATCCTTTGTATTTTTAGTTAGAAAAACATGAGAACTGTGCTTTTAATTGAAATAAGATTGACTATGAAACAGGATTCAGTGTAGGTAGATGGCTGTTCTGAAAAATAGAATGATTTAAAAGTTTGGCAGGGACTTATTTGATTTTTTATTTTCTCCTAGATCCTGAAGAATTCTTGAATATCTTGTTTCATCATATTTTAAGGGTGGAACCATTGTTAAAAATAAGGTAACGTTCACATTTTTATAGACGCCCTGGAAAAGAAACATCTTGTCCCCTCCGCCCTCGGCTGGCGACGAGGCCCTCGGGTTACATCACATCCGTGTGTTAGGGTCTCCCCGGGCTCTGTCCCACAGGCACATTAATCCCCACCATCGTCTTCTCCACAGCACTAACTTACTCACTCAGGGACGCACTGAATAAAAACAGAACCCCGAGACCTGGACTGATGGATGGCTGGGGAGAGAGACATTTAGTTATTTTATCTAAATTATTGCCTTTGCCCCGTTGGTCTGATGTCAGAAGTTGCACCATCAAATGCGTAGTTTTCTGTCCTCCGACACTATTGGAGCCATTCACGTTGTGATGTAAGCATTTCACAAGGAAACTCTGGGTTTTCTTTCAGGTCAGCGGGTCAAAAAGTACAAGATTGTTACTTCTATCAAATTTTTATGGAGAAAAATGAGAAAGTTGGAGTTCCTACAATCCAGCAGCTGCTGGAATGGTCTTTTATCAACAGCGACCTGAAGTTTGCAGAGGTCAGTGGTCGTGCTTGTGTTTTATCTGGACGTTCTGGCCGGGAGTCACACCCTGACCTGGTTCACAGGCCGACGCTCAGCCGCTGAGCCACGCCGGCCGGGCCCGCAGGGAAAGGTTCCCAGCGCTTTGATCCTAAAACACTCCCCTTTCCAGGCCCCGTCATGCCTGATCATCCAGACGCCTCGGTTTGGGAAGGACTTTAAGCTGTTTAAGAAGATCTTCCCGTCCCTGGAGCTGAACATCACAGACCTGCTGGAAGACAGTGAGTAGGAGCGCTGTTTGCTGCTGGTTCCTCAGAGGGTCCGCAGGGCTCCCCTCCGCTGCGAGGGCCTTCCGCAGGCATCCGTGTCTGCGCCGCCAGGAGCGCGCGGCGAGAGTGCATTCTGAGAACATTGTCAGAGATGCCGTGTGTATTTTACACGCGCACAGGTTCACTGGTGCCTGAGTAAGTTAGAAGCAATTTGTATGTGACCAAGGGGCGAGCTGTTAAATGAATTACGGTGTATCCGTCCTGTGTTAGAAGACCCGTAGTGTGAAAGTGATGATGTAAAAGGTCATGGCAATATTTTGTACAAGAGGAGCTATAAACACACACACACACACACAGCAGTGTACAAGTTTAGATATAAAGGCCGGAGAAAGGAGTTGTGAGCACACACAAACACACACACACACAGCAGTGTACACGTTTAGATATAAAGGCTAGAGAAAGGAGTTGTGAGCACACACAAACACACACACACACAGCAGTGTACACGTTTAGATATAAAGGCTGGAGAAAGGAGCTGTGAGCACACACAAACACACACACACACAGCAGTGTACACGTGCAGATATAAAGGCCGGAGAAAGGATCTGTGAGCACACACAAACACACACACACACAGCAGTGTACACGTTTAGATATAAAGGCTGGAGAAAGGAGCTGTGAGCACACACAAACACACACACACACAGCAGTGTACACGTGCAGATATAAAGGCCGGAGAAAGGATCTGTGAGCACACACAAACACACACACACACAGCAGTGTACACGT